ATGTTATCCAAGGTCGTGAAGCTGTTCGATCCTTCAGGATTTCTTGGCCCGTTAATAGTCGTTGTTAAGATCATGTAACAAGAGGTTTGGCTTAATAAGTTGGATTTGGAGGATTAGCCTGATCCTTTAGTCCAACAATAGCTTGAATTTAGAGAAGACTTAACCCATGATACCAATATCTTGATGCCACGTTGGATTTGTTTAACTGCTACGGATGAGTAGCATCTCCACGGACTCTGATGCTTCCAAGTAGGCATATGCAGCTTGCGTTTACGTGGTACTCCCGGAACAAATCCACGCTACTCATGGCCAAGACGAAAGTGGTACCACTAAGAGTGGTTTCGTTGCAAAGGATAGAGCTCTGGGGAAGCTTACTGCTCACCAGGCTTGCCATTCAACTGTTGAAAAGTCTACGACATCCACCCAAGTCAGTCCACTGCTAAACTGACTCACAAATTATCTTGGAATGGCTAAAGGGTCAGCCAGCCAAGTGGCCGACCTTCATTGCAAATAGGATGAGTGAAATTATATCCTCGTTTCCGGACGGCTGTTGGAGGCATGTAAGATCGGTACACAACCCAGCAGGATGTGCGACCCAGGGACTTACGGCTTCGCAAATGCCACGATAGTGAAAATACAACAACATCAAAGAGACATACTACATAGACATAGTACACAATATATGATAGGGAAATCGAAGAAAATCTAAGACCTAAATATATTGTATTATCGTAAAAGCTTCCAAGTGTTGTAATAAAAAAAAATGTCTATTAATGTACAAGAAATTGTATATCTAATACATGATAACTTTTACAGTTATTATGGTTGCTCAAGCCAGTATTTTTTTATAACATTATTAAATTAAACTAAGACGATTTTTTTTTCAAGTAAGAACTTGACTGAAACAAGAGTTCAATTACCAGTTGCAAGTCATGAAAGTTAAGTAAGGATTCACAAAATGTGTGAAATGACTTTAAAAATTTTCATCAAAAGTTATTAAAAAGTTACAAGCTGCTAAAGCTTAATTTTCTAGAATTTTGGAAATGTTGAATTGAAAGATTTTGGGAGAACTGTTGCAAAAATGAGCTCAAAAAAAATGTTTGCCAAACTTAGATTTAAATACGCGAATCAACAAGCTCAGATTGTGTTTAATGATACCTTTTTACTAATAGCTTTTTAAAATTCAATACATTTGGTGACGGCTCTGACTGTAAGATTTCATGAGAAAATCAGTTACTAAGATAGTAAGACTGCTTCCAGCAGCAATTTTCAAAAAGTTCGAGGAACTAAATAAAGTGCGCATTTAAAACAAATCAATAACTGATTTTTAACAAGCTTGAAGGATACAAAGTTGCATTAGGTGCTGAGAACTATATTCAAAGCTATACTTGCTGACGTTTGCATTTATCTTGCTTACGTAAATATTATAAGTCGATTATACTCTGATTATGTGTAAGAATCGAAAGACCTTACGAAGTTTTTAGAATAAGCTCTGTAGGGGATACAGAAAAAAAAGTCTTTGAGTGGAAAAAATCATAAAGACAGTGATAAGTCAATTCATCTGAGAAGTTCCGTTACCACTATCTGATATCACGATGGAAATCAATAAGTAATCATTTAAAGTAAAAAAAACATTGATATCTTTTATAAAGTAATAAGAATAGCAAAATTTTAATGTAAACAAAATTATTTAAACAAACTGTAATACTGCGAGAAAGTTTTGAAAAAAAATTTTAATTCAAAAGTAAACAAATGAGCTGATAAGTACTATGACGTTCCAAGCCCGAACTCGGTGGCTCCCTAGTGATAAACAAGGAGACAACAAGTGTTTATTAACCGTGTAAAATAAAAAACTGTGACTTGAAAACTAAAAAGTTTTAAATATTGATGAACGATAGATCATGCTAGATACAAGAATTCAAGTTAATGAAAATTTGCATTTTAATTTGATGTAAAAAACGTTAGACGTTAGTAAAAAATACATAAAAGCTATTATACCAGTTACAGATGAACATTCTGAAGCAAAGAATTCAAGAATTGAACAGTAAGATTTGCAGCACGAATTTCTATTTCGATCATTCATGAGAATAATTATATTATGTGCTTTCAGTATTTTTGACGTGTGTTTGGTTTATTTTATCACTATACATGAAGTATCAATTGGATGTACAATCAAAATAGAAACATAATGTCGTAGCGTAGCCTTTCTTGCTATAAGAAAAATATCTAAAGAATACTTTATGTTAAAATGAATTAAAGTACATTAAGCATTTCGAACCAAAGTTAAAACTCAGCAAAGTTATACTATCAATTAGTAAAAGTCTTAAGTTTTAAATCCTCTGTCCTTTAAACTTTCTTTTTCTAAAGATACACAATGTCTCACTAAAGATACACGGGTGTTTACGTACTCATAATAGATAAAGAATAACACAACGATAACACGGAAAATTAATAACAGTATGATTTTTACAAAGCTTCATTAGTAGATTTAGCAGTAGTTTTAAAAAAAAAAAAAAACATACATCTTTCCAAACAGCTCTTTATACTTAAAAATGTGAGCAAAAACATGGCAGATGTAAAAAGCATACGAAATGAGTTTTAAGGTAAAGTCAATCTGTTCTTTGAGGTAATATAAACTCTCACACAACAGCATGAATACAAAACTAAAAAGCTACAAAAAAAAATTGAATTACAAGACAAACTGATTACACATAACAATTAAATGATAAAATGTTTAAAAATACTATTAATGCAGTAAATGATTGGGTACGTCAAATGAAGAAAATAAACAGTAGCATGATCATGACTGGTAATGAAAGGAATGACGTGATAACGTTAATTTAAAATTATACAAAAATTATTTAAAATTGAAAAATTAAATAGGTAAAACAGTAAAACAATAAAATCAACAGATCAAGCAATTCCGAGTTTACTGTAAAATGTCTCAATGTAATGTCCTGCGTTATCTCATTGTTAATACAGGTGGATCATTTAATAGATAAAGATAATTAATAAAATAACTCTGGTGGTCTCGCTATCCAAAGATACTTTATTTAAAAAAACAACAACGTTTTGGCCATTTCTGGTATACCATGGCCCTCTTCAGATGCACCGAATAAAACAAATAAAACAAAGGTTAAAATAATACGATGACCGCTGTTTCGCGATGTAACAGAACGGGAACCAGAACTTACACAAATAATTTCTATTCACCAATATGTAAAGCGTCTTCAAGCCTGTATATTGAAGTGTACAGTCCGCTAGTCTTTACAATAATGTGAATTTTGCAAGCAGCTTACAAGGCTCAAGCTCGATACATAAAACTTTTACTAAAGTATTAAGGAAAGGAGGTTATATGTTATTGTGTGACATATAGACAGGGGTTGAAACGTGTATATTTGTCATAAGAAGAACATGTGAAACATCAGTTGAATTTTATTTTTGATTTTTCCAGAAATAATTTGTAGCAGTTTTTAAGATTTTGGATATCCATTATTATGTTTAAAGTATTGTTAGTAAGTTGCATGTGAATCATCTCAGAAAAACGTCTTTTGTATAAATTAACTTTTGTATCTAGAATTAGAACATTAGTAAAATCGGTAGTATGATTTGTTGTTTTCACATGTTCTCCTAAAGCCAATCTTCAATTTTTTTGGCACGTATCTCTTATGGGTTCATTAATTATCATTTTTAATGCTCTACTTGTTTTCCCAACATAGTTTTTATTACAGTCTTGACAACACATTTTGTAAACAGTGTTAGTTTCTTCGAGAAGGTGGTGGAATATCCTTACCTAATCTAATAATACAATTGAATTTATCAATATATCAGTAAACTACGTTATAATGCAACTTTTTTATTATTGACGCAGCCTTTTTGCTAAAATACTCAAAATATGGTATAACAAAAAGAGGTTTTTTAGATACAGCTGCTGGCATATGGACATTATAACTATCAAAAATTTAGCAGACTCTTTTCTTTACATATTTGTCAACAAATTTGGCGGATAATCATTATTTAATAAAGGGTCTCTTACCAAGGATGAATTTTCTTCATGGAATCGTGGGTGTGAAAGCTTAACACTATATTCTACTAAAGTGTATACAATCCCAATTTTTTGTGGCCTTGGATTATGCAACAGAAAATTAAGATATCTCCCAAAAAAAAAGGTTTTCTATACTTGTTAGTTATTGCAGTGTTATCATGTTGTACTATTTATTGCATATCGAGAAAGTTTATTTTATTGTTCATCATTTCGTCTACTGTAAATTGCAAATTACTCTTGTAGCTATTGAAAATTAATTGTGTATATAAAATTTTGTCTATTAGGACACAGATGAATATGTCATCTACATATTTAACATATAGTGGTACATAGAAACCAAGTCTTCCAAGACAATCTGTTTCCAGCATCCGCATCACCAGATCGAGGTGACACTGTTTTTCCATGATTTACGTGCGATTATTATGCCTATTCACACGATATACATAGATGTAATTATAATATGTGAATCATTATAGTTTAAGAATTCTTATTAGAAAATGATTTAATTGTAATAACTCATCAATATCTTTGCATCATTAATATAATTAACTTTGCGAAATTACCATATATATTTATTGTAAGATTTGAATGCCATAACTTCTGATTCTTCGTAGTGCTTTACTGCAGTATTAACTGTATGATAAAGATGGCTTTTTTTGTAACTTTTCATTGGAAAAGACTCATTCAGATACATGTTTGGGCTGAGATTTTTGTATAGGTAAGAAAGGAAAAATCTTTGATTTGTCACTCAATATGTATGCTTAACATAGTTTAAGATAAGGCATAGCATAAAATTACTGAAAAAGGTTATCTCATAGATAAAATTTAAGCCATGTTTCACGATATAACAAAAGAGTTGTGGAGCTGTATTTAGGTCTTTTTATCCTTTTTTTTCTCTTTGACCTTAAAAATTATTAACCAACCTACTAATGATTGTACGGTTGATCTGTTTCAGTACAAAGCGAAGTTCGGTGTTCATTGCAGACAATGGAGGTCGAAATAACTGAGATAACAAAAGAAGCCCTTGCGTACTTACAGTTCAAGAATTACCCAGGTAAGGTACGAATATAATGAGTTCTTAAGAGTACTTTCATCATGTTACTTTGGATTTGAGTATTTTTACTTAAAAGAAACTACTTCCTTTACTATATTTCCAACGTTGACTTAAAAAATGTGATATCTAATACATGGCTTGACTTTCCGCGTGATAAATACAGTTTAGTACAACATGAATTTTTTTTGTTGATGTTCCTTTTGTTATCTAGGTAATCAATTTTCACAGATTTTTCCTGAAATTCAATGAGTTGGGGAAAGAACTTTATTTTTACATAAATTTCTGAATACATATAACAATTGAAACTTACTTTGCACTTAAAGTTAACTGACAATAGGTATTTCCACAATCATGGATATCGACGATCTTTCGTGTATTCGCTGTCAACTAAAGAAAATATCAAAAACTAAATATTTGATTTTTCGTAACCAGTTGATATAACAAACGAAAGGATATTTGTATGCATGTAATTCATTGAGAGTTGTTAATAGAAGATTTAGATGTTACGTGAGAAACTTGAACTTAAATTTTTTAATTATAAGCAACTTTTTTTCTCTATTCATACGATAAGCACCCACTGATAAATACATCATACATACTTATGGTTGGTTAAATATTTTTCTACGTTTTCAACAATTTTATTTTTGTCTTCTACTTTGCCAGAAATAATTCGCTGTGTGAATATTTTAGAATACTACTATTTTAAGTCAGTAACAAAAACTTAGGTGAAACGTGAAAGAGTTTGGAATAATTTTACCGTAGGTCACCTTACTAAAATTTTTCCTAAGAAAGAACGTTTTTTTAATAATAATTAGAAATTCCGTAGTTCGAGCAAAATCTTTTAAAATGTTAAACATTTTTTAATCAGTTATTAGATATTAAGAAAACAAGAATTCAATTATTGCAAGTGCCAAATTAATAAAAAAACAACTAATGCGTGTTCAAATATTAAAAAAAAAATAATATCTTAACAAATAACGTTAAACTTACTTTAAATAATGAATACACTTACTTTTTGAATAATAAAATTAAAAATCATGTGAAAAGAGAAGTTAAATCATATTACGGCATAGATCATGGTTTTTTGAGGCTGTTGACAAATCCGATGATAATATTTATACAGATTTGCCAATTTAAATTCTAAAAGTTATTTGTGAAGGCTTTTCTCCACCCAAGGTTAAGAAATTATTAAACGATTGTTATGGTTATACGAATAAATGAAACTAATAAATTTATTAAAAATTGAAAAAAAACCAACGCTCCATAGCATTATCTAAAAAGTGGTGTAGAAACGTGTTAACAAACTATATAAATAAAATGATAAGTGCGAGGCTGGGGAAAAAAGGCTGAAGACGGCTCGAACAAATATTATAGCGTTACTCAAACAAAGTGTTTAAAAATTGTGAGGGGGCTGAAAGTGTTCTCTTCGAAAGTGTAAGAAGCGCTCAGAGGTCGATGCAGAAAAGTAATTAAAGTAAAGATGACATGATAAATAACATAATTGTAACTCATTTAGAGTTGCAGCTGGAGGTTAGCTAAAGGGATTTCTTTAAAATTGAGAGGGAGCAGAGAGGGGCTGAACAAAAATTCAATCCAATAAAAATAAGGTTAACACCAATGAGATTTCACCTTATTAAAAGAAAGGCTGAAGGAATTTTTAAAAATAAAGAAGGAGGCTGAGAGGCAGTAAAGAGGTTGAAGAGGCGTCCACACAAAAATTCAACCCATTAAAAAAAGGTAAAATCCAATAGAATCTTTCCATATTAAGAGCGGTTTAGAGAGGAGCTGGAGGAGGTGATGACTTTCCAAAATCACTAGTTAATATAGAAAAACATGTATTTTTATATTTATATATAGTCGTCAGAAAGGTCCTTAAAATAGCTCCCACTTTTTCTCTCCGTTTTCTTACTATCTTTCATTTACATTTTTAAGAATAAGCTTGAGATTACATGAAGTCTGGCAGTCTGCAGACTGGCAGACTCACTTTCAGTACAATCGACTAGAGTGAGAGAGAGAGGTCTGACCAACAGATCTTATACAACTCTTTTGGTGCCGTGGACCGTGGATCAGAATAAACAGCTTATGTATCTTTTGTGTTAATTTTTTTTTATTTCACATTACGGTATTCTGCAGTTGTTTCTAGATGACAAATTTTTTGTCTTATTTCAGTTTTAAATTCCATGTAATTTTTCATGCGGTATTACATATGGCATCACCAATTTAAAACCCTTGTGTAAAGCCATATGTAAAATTATATGAAACGGAAGTGGTTACACATGGAATTTTGTCATTCATTTGTTAGGTAGGTTGACAGTAGACTCCTGTAATTATAATATCTCTATGATTGTGTAACTATATTTTGCACCATAGAGCTGTACCCTTTAACTATTTATAGAAAAAATTAAGCAATATAGTGGTGATATGCCGTTCCTTAACATAGCCTATATCGCAGGAGTAATTGCTATCCACTAAAGAGGACATTGTGAATTTATGGATGAGAAGCAGAGAGAGGAAGCTCTTGTCATTTACTGCATGCATAATACGTAGTTGTAGGTGTATCCTAACAAGATTTTTATAAAGTTAATATTTAATTTTATTAATTAATTTGATAAATATTTATTGTTTTGTTAGATTTATACCTGTTTACAAAAAAGTTTTGTAATTGTTTGTATTCCAAGTAAAATTTATTCCATTAAAAGTAAGAACATCTTTGATAGCCTAATCTGCGACATTCTTAAAGACGTTTCTGAGATATTCCTGAGATGTCTTTAAAAATATTTTTAGCAACATCACCAATGACGTGATAGACGATATTTTTACTTCAGGTAAGGTAATCAAATAAGTAATGTTTTGTCTTGACGAACAGAACTGTGATACAATTACGATTTATTTAAACGCTGTCAGTATTGATAATAAATTGCAAGCAATTATGGGGATTGGGCAATATGAAAAAAAAAATTACCTGAATAATGCATTCTTTTTAATTTACTATTCATCGTAAGAACGATTAAATAAAAGGTACATTAGTAACGATCAAGACTTCAGTTGTATCTTATATTGTTAATTAAACCAACTTTATGGCACAAATTACACATGCATGTCCTAAGCTCTTACAATTAGAAGATTATCATCACAAGCGAAAAATTTAATATATTGCTAAATAATATTATCGTATTTAACTGCAAATGCTTTAAAGATATCTAACTATATAATCACTTATATTTCATTTTTTGATATATTGTCAATTAATAAGAACACATAGAAAATCCGTAATCTGATTTACTTTGATAAAATCCATGCATTTTACTTTTACAATGAAATAAATGTTAGAAAAAGAACAAGTAATGTGATGACATAAGCAGTGCTACTTGTTAAGCCACGAGAAGTATTAACTTACCACAAGTTGAATACTAGCATAATACAAATAAACTTTACGCATCATTAACAGACTTTATAGCTCAATACATTTGTGACATGAATTTCACCAATACGTACACAAAATAATTTCCTAAATTTATCATTCTCACAATGATTACTTTTATAAGACACCGTAAATGGTTATGTATTAGTACATCTTAAGTTTGTATATCAGTCAAGCACCTACAATGTTTTTCTAATTCTTCAAAGAGCAGCCAATGTGAAAGAACTTTAGGGAATATTAGCGCAGACGAGCTCGTCTGAAAAATACTAGCGTACATGAACTCGTCCAAGGAATACTAGCGTACATGAGCGTGTTCGAGTTCCATTGGCTTTTACGAGCACACGTGACTACGTCTGAGGAATTCTGTCATATGCGACTGCACCTAAGGAGTACTAACATACAAAAGCGTAGGTAAATGTGTCTGAGGAATACTACACTGAAAAAAAACTTTACTAGTTTCAAGAGAATTTGGTTTCTCAAATCCCATTTCTTAAAAACAAATAACTAATTGCTTAATTCACAAAAGTAAAAAAATTGTAAATTATTAACTTAGGAAAAAAAAATTTCTTACAATTTTCGAGTAAATATTCATCGGTCCATAGACTATAATTTCTTATCATACTCTCACTGTAAAAACCATAGATTCAAGTAAATTACAAACTTAAATAGTTCCAGGTCCACATTTTTAGGAACAAGTAAACTGATAACTTGTTAAAAAAAAAGATGATTCAATTCTATAACATTTGTTATACAAACTTAGTAAATATTTCCATGATTCAAGAAAATTCATAATTTTTTAGACATGAAGAAAAAAAGTGTAAGAATGCAAAAACTATTTTCTTACATCAAGTAAATATTTGCAAGTGTTAGAAATATAAATAACAAAACCAAATACACTACTTTTTGAAACAATTTTTTTGATTTCTAGTAAATTTCATACTTAAATAGTTCCTATTTAATATTTCTTGGAAACAAGTACACACACAACTTAATTGAAAAATTTTGTTCGACTTTCGTATAGTAAAACACTCCGACTTGGTAGATATTTTCTTGATTCAAGCAAATCAATATATTTTTAACATGTTGAAGAAACTATAAGCATCAAAGAACTATTTTCTTAGATTAAGAATATATTTGCTCGTGTAAAAACAAAAATGACGTAATCAAATACACTACTTTACAGAGAAATATTTCATACTAAAAGTAAATTTTATACTTGGGTCGTTCCAAGCAGAGATACGTAGAGAGACTTCTAACACCAATGCTACGATGTATGACGAGTTTTTGGTCTTGATTAGGGCAACCCACCGCGGCCAGTCATCGAACCAGGTGCAACATTTTTTGAGAGTGTGAGACTTGCATCGAACAACGTGCGCCTACGAGAAGAAGAGTAGATTCGCTTGGAAAACAAGCATACAGGTGCACATTTTGGAGAGACAAAGAAGAAGTATACCAAACGTGCGCCTACGATGAGAGGAATGAAAATATCTATTATGGCTGTAAAGTTGAGCGCACAGTCAAAGCAAGCGATGACCCGAGTTTTTCTCTTGTGTTTCTATTTTTCTAATTTTTCCTCATT